GCCAGAGGAGCAGCTTTGTGCTGCCCTGCACTCCCAGAGGAGCAGCTTTGTGCCCCCTGCATTGCCAGAGGAGCAGCTTTGTGCTGCCCTGCATGGCCAGAGGAGCAGCTTTGTGCTGCCCTGCATTGCCAGAGGAGCAGCTTTGTGCTGCCCTGCATTGCCAGAGGAGCAGCTTTGTGCTGCCCTGCATTGCCAGAGGAGCAGCTTTGTGCCCCCTGCATTGCCAGAGGAGCAGCTTTGTGCTGCCCTGCATTCCCAGAGGAGCAGCTTTGTGCTGCCCTGCATTCCCACAGGAGCAGCTTTGTGCTGCCCTGCATTCCCAGAGGAGCAGCTTTGTGCTGCCCTGCAGTGCCAGAGGAGCAGCTTTGTGCTGCCCTGCATTGCCAGAGGGAGCCCAGGCCCATCTGCAGCAACCCTGGAGCTGCAGAGGAAAACTCCCCCCTTGTGCAGGATCCCTGCTGCAGCAGAGCCACAGCTGGCACTGCAGGAGGGCTGAGCCCCCGTGGGATGGGGCTGGGACACCGCCCTGACACTCTGTTAATGGTTTGTTTTCTTTCTTGTACTTTTGTATTTTTAATTTTCCTAATAAAGAACTGTTATTCCTATTCCCACAGCTTTCCCTGAGAGCCCCTTAATTTCAAAATTATAATAATTTGGAGGGAGGGGGTTTACATTTTCCATTTCACAGGAGGCTCCTGCCTCCCTTAGCAGACACCTGGCTTTCCAAACACAGACAGACAAGGACCAGCTGTCAGTCAGTGCCCAGCACTGGGCAGAGCCCCACAGCACCAGCACACTCTGGAGACAGCAGGTTAACAATCACAGAACCTTTGGGTCAGAGAGATGTTAAATTCATCTCCTTCCACCAGGCTGCTCCAACTTGGCCTGGAAGGATCATCAGTACAAAACCAGCGAGGCATAAAACTGTAGAAAGTTATATACTGGGGCCAAGAAACCAAATAAATTATCAAAATAGACCAAATCAATGCAGGCGTAACAGCACAGCGTAAAAAAATCCCCACTAATTCCAATAATTATAATTTTATTTCTGAATATCATAAGAATGCTGCTTAATGAGTTTTCAGTTTTGGATGATGCTCTGTTGAGTCCTAGGCCAAACTAAGTGTGATTTCAATTAACAAAAAAAAACAAGACAAGAAAGAAGGAGAGAAATGACAAAGAAACAACAAAAACAACAAAAGACAAAAACTACAATTCTCCTTTGCTGAGATTCAGATTTTCAAATTAAATAATCATCATATGGAAGGAATAGTTGATGAACAGAGAGCTAAACATGCATTTGAACAGAAATAGTTAAGGATGCCATTTCCAGGAATAGAAAGGAGCCAGAGAGAGCCAACTGCAGACAGACAGAGATATGCTAAACCCTCTCTCACACGTTTTCTTAAGATGTCTGTGCATAATTCAATTTGAAGCCCAGGCTCATACCAAAATATATAACTTCACATCGCAGTACATGCCTGCCTCAATGGATTTAAGTTTCACTTGAGCAACATATGGAAAACATCTGCCTATTGCAACCTAGTATGGCTCCTTTCTGTAAACCCTTGGAAGTCCTCACGGCCTCTTTGGATTTGGTTTCCAAGAGGAATCAGCTCTCTGGCCTGCTGCTTTTCCTCCCATTTACATCTGAGCCGGATGACTCTGGAAGATAAGCAGATCTGTTCATGGATGGTAGGAAAAGGATATTTGGGTTCAGACTGGAGCACGTGGGGCTCCTGCCAGATACAGAAAATGCACCCCAGGACACGGCTGGGTCTCACAACCTCCTCCTGAGCCAAGAAACGAGCACATAACTCAGGGCAGGTTCAGACAGCTCTGAGCCCCACAGCTTGTAATGATCCCTGAGGGTCCCTATCCTTCTCAGGAGTGGCTCTCCATGCAGCCAGCCACACTTCTGCACCTTGTCCTGCTTGGAGAATCCCTGGCTGCCTCCCAGGGGCTGCTCTGAGCCCTCCGTGCAGCCCCAGCAGGGCCACAGGCCAGGCCAGACCCCACTCCCACCCCACATGGCAAATTCATCTTGTTCTGTTCTACAGTCACAAAAGTCAGGGGCAAAGGAAAGAGATTGGCTGATGAATCACCCTGAAATGATGAGCAAACTGCTCCACTCTGGCCATTTTCTAACCACGTTCCCTGGGCTCTTCCCGGTGGATCTGGATAAAAATGGCACCGCTAACCTTCCATGGGATTGATGCCAAGCACCAATTCCCCCAGAGGAGAACCTGGAGATCAGGAAAAGGGTCTTCCCCAGAGGATATTGGGCACTGCCCAGATCCCCAGAGAAGGGCACAGCCCTGAGAGCTCCAGGAGCCTTTGGACAGCACTGCCAGGGATGCCCAGGCTGGGGTTGTTGGGATATCTGTGCAGGGCCAGGGTTGGACTGGAGGATCCTTGGGGGTCCTTTCCAACCCAGGATGAGGATGGATTCACTGGAACTTTCAGACTCACGTCATAGTTCGAAATGGAAATATTTTGTACTGAATACACCAAAAATTATCTTCTCTCCAGATGACGTCGAGCTTCCAGTACTAAGTCCTTTTTTGCACTGGCCCTTGCTTAGTCTGCACTGCCCACGTGGAGCAGAGCCCTTAAACTCCAGTCAAATTTCAGCAATGATTGCAAAAGATGAAATTCCCGTATTCCTGGACAGGCAAATTTCCTCCCAGCTATAGAAGCGTGATGGGAAGGGATCCAAGAGGCAGAAACAAAAATAACAGCTTTAAGCAAGGAAAGAGACCGACCCGAGCCATGCTATTGCCTAAGCTGGGATGTCAGGGATAGGAAGGGATCTGGAAGGGAAGACTGATTATTTAGTCTGGCAAAGGAGCGTTTGGAGTGTGGGGTGTATCAGAGGAGTGATGCAATCACAGATGATGGAGTGCAGCCACCAAACCTCTCTAACAAAAAATACTTTGTGCTAGCGCAGCTTTGGGCAGCTTCCTGCGGCAAACACTGCTGGGCTGATATTCCCTAACCAAGATAAATGGAAAGCAAAGGCAGTCAGAGCAATCCCCTCCCTCTGCAGGGAGATTGAAGTGACCTCACTGACATGGAATTGCTTTTAAGTGAAGAACCTGTGCACACACGTGTAAATAATCCCAGATATCCCAGTTTGGGGCTGTTCTTCAGAGACCTCAAGAAAGGTCAGCAGGCACAACCCAGCTGGCCACTTTCTGGTCTTTTCATGTCTGAGGTAGCAAGGGACACTCAGAGCTGTTTGTTTGTCACATCTTTGTGGGCTCCCAGGGGATTTATGCACACCCAGCTCCCCAAGCCCCTGATTCCCAGAGCTCGGACAGCCAGAGGTGATATCGGGAATTCTGAATAATTCATTTGTTCCCAATCTTGCTTCATCTGCCTCAGTCTAAACTAAGAAAATGTTTGTTGTGTGAGAATGGAAAAACATCCCACTCAACTCCCTAAATGCCTTCCTTCCCTGCCACCCTGACCCCCAGCACTTTCCAGATCAGATTTCCTCACCCTTCCCGAGCAGACCACATGCTGGGAATGACACAATTCCAGCACACGGCGTCCTACAGCCGGGGACACTCCGTGCAGGGACCCCAGGGGCGTGGTGGGGTGGTGCCAGCCCTGCACCCACTCCTGGAAAAGGCTGTCCAAGCTCCAGCTCTGCCCATCCCAGCAGCACACAGAGCTCGGGAAGAACAGGGGCCCTGGAGCACATTGCAGTGTCCCGTGGGCAGATGGATTTTCACTCCAAAGCGTTTCCAAAGACAAAACTCAAGCACCAAGACCAATTTCTTTCCCCAGGATGACTCAGGTTTGGCACATACCTGCTGGAAAGTCATGGAAGCATTCAGGTTGGAAAGGACCTCCAGGATCAGAGCCCACCCTGTGCCCCATCCCCACCTTGTCCCCACCACTCTCCAGGGAGGAATTCCTCCCCAGTACCCAAGGCACAGGTAGTGCAGGTTTCTGTAAGCAAAACCAGAGACACAAATGGAAAGGGAGCACAGATTCCAAGTCAGATGTAATTACAGGAGAGGTTTTTGCTATTCTCTGGATGTTTCATAGCCAATACACAATCCGTATGAGATCATCCCTAATCTCACCTAAGCAAAGCATCTCTGACATGATTAATGGCCTGTTGAACCAATAGGATTACAGAATTTAAACCAGATTAATACCAATACGACTTAGACTAAATTAATGTTTCATCCAAAAGCACCTTCTTTGGCTTTTTCAAAGGTAACAGACACAACTCTGATTGTGCAGCTGCAGACTTACAGTTCCAAAACAGGATACAGCACTAACTGATTATCCACGGAGTAATGGTGGTGTAAGTGCTAATTAGGGCTGGAAAAGGAGGACCCTAACAAGCTGTTAGAACTCCTTGAGAGGTCTCCTTTATTGCTTAAAGCAATAACTTGTTGGTATATAATAGAATTTATTATACAGCACCGCCTAACCCTCCAAAAAAGCAGCGCTATTTAGCTAAACCAGACACGAGTACCCAAACCAGCTCCAGGTATGTTTATTTTTCTACCAATCCCTTCCACAACCCTGGCACACACCGACCACAAACTCAACTTGCAGGGAACGCTTTCTTTTGCACAAACGACACAAAACAACCCAACCCAGCCCAGCCCGCGCAGTCCTGCACGTCCGATCCGCCTTGGGGCGAGCCTGGCTCCCTCCTCGGCCACTCAGAGCATCCCCAGGCCAACCTGGAGGGCTGGGATTGAGCAAGCTGCCCGCCCCCTTCCCTCCCTTCCCTCCCCAAAAGGCGCAGCCGGCAGCGCTCGCTCATTCATTGGGCTCGGGCGCTGCCTGCGCTCGCTCGGGGCTCCGCTGCAGCTCCTGCACAGCCCCGGCTCCGCTGCAGCTCCTGCACAGCCCTGCAGCTCTCACAGCCCCGGCTCCGCTGCAGCTCCTGCACAGCCCCGGCTCCGCTGCAGCTCCTGCAGCTCTCACAGCCCCTGCAGTTCCTGCACAGCCCCAGGAGCGCCAGGAGAATGCTGCCCCGAGAGCTCCTGTCCCTGCTCACGCTGCTCTGTGCTTTCAGAGTTTCTGGCTCTGTGGTGGATGAGGACGATGACTACGAGCTCATGTACGTGAATCTGGATAATGAAATCGAAGGTCCAGCTCCTGCGGCTGAGGAAGGTGAGTAAATTTAAACTGAATTTAAGCGCAGAAGTGCCTTCGGTGCTGCCTAGCTCTTCTAAGAGTTATTACTGCAAACATAATTTACTTTTTCCAGAGGGAGAGGCTCATGCTCGTAGCAGGGGGTTATTGTGGGCAGTCAAGGTAAAGCCCTTGGATGGGTGCCTTGGGCTGTGCTTTAGGCTCTTGATTTCTCAGCTTTCCTCCCAAGGGCTGCTGCTGTCCCAGGGGTTTAGGATCTCTGTAATCACACCCCTGCACGGTTCTGTCCCGATACAGAGGGAAAGGCACGGCCCCAGCACGGTAGGGCGCTGGAACCAGATTGTCTGTAGGGTCCCTTCCAGCCCAAACCAGCCTGAGCCCACAACTCTGTGACAGGACACAGCCTTGCACAGAGCCGGGTTTTGCCAAACGCTGCCGTGTGACACTCGGTACCAAGGAACAGCAACATCTGTACGTTCCCTTGCAGCTGCTTCCTGCGACTGCCAGCGGGAGCACAGCAAGTGGGACAAGCTGTTCATCATGCTGGAGAACTCGCAGATGAAGGAGAACATGATGCTGCAGGCTCTGGATGATCTGCCCAGGCTGGAGCTGCAGACCCTGAGGGCAGAGCTGAGCCAGCTGGCCACCACCCTGGCGGGCACTGTCACCGCCGTCACCTCGCGCGTGGTGTCCCAGGTGGAGCAGGCGCTGCTGAGGAGCAGGGACCAGGCTGAGCAGGCCCGGAGGCTGCAGGAGTCGGAGCAAGGGAAGGTTCTGGAGCACGTCCTGCAGCTGAGCCACAACGTGTCGGCGAGGCTGGGCTGGCTGGAGAGCGCCTGGCGCGGCAGGGCCGAGGAGCAGGCACGGCAAACAGCCCAAACAGCCCTGCAGCAGGACAGACAGCGTGGCAGCCCAGGGGACAGCCCCATCCTGAGCTCCCTGTGGAAGGAGCTGCAGCAGACCCGGGCTGAGCTGAGGGCGTCACAGCAATGGGCAGCTCAGCACCTGCTGCCAGCAGGTAAGGCCAGCCTGAGCTCGGGGGAGGCCACTCCAAACTGACAGGGATCCACAAACCCCTTCCTGGGCACCTCCAAAGCAGCACAGGCATCCACAAACCCCTTCCTGGGCACCTCCTGCAGCAACAGGGATCCACAAACCCCTTCCTGGGCACCTCCTGCAGCAACAGGGATCCACAAACCCCTTCCTGGGCACCTCCAAAGCAGCACAGGCATCCACAAACCCCTTCCTGGGCACCTCCTGCAGCAACAGGGATCCACAAACCCCTTCCTGGGCACCTCCTTCTGCAGTAACAGGGATCCACAAACCCCCTCCTGGGCACCTCCTTCTGCAGCAGCTCCAAAGCAGCCCCAGCAGCAGCAGGGCAGCTTGGAACAGGCTGTGTGTGAAGGAGGGAACCCCAAACTGGTGGAAAGAGAGGCACTGAGCTTTTCAAACATAGGATCAAAGAAAAGTTTCATCAAAGTTTTCATGCAGGGCAGAGCCAGCCAGGATCCCACCTCCTCCTGGCTCTCCCAGATCAAAGCCCTTATCAGAGAGCAACAAATGTATTTTAGACACCCAGATGATGTTCTCTCACCTTTTGCCTTCCCAGCCGGTGACTCCTGTGCATTTGCAGCAGTCAGGGAGCTCTCCTGTTCTCCTGCAGGTTCCCACTCCTTCCTCTTCCTCCATGAGCATCTCCTCACCAGCCTGGTGCCCAAGAGCTGACATGCTGCTGCCAGCCAGCCAAGCACAATTCTAGGGCAGGGAGGGCACATTCCCTGCATGCCAGTGGGAATATCCTGCCCTGGATATTCCCAGTGGCACAGAGAAATCAGTGACCCGTGCTGCTGCTGTGTTTGGGGGATTTTTCCTTTTCCAAAACATTTGCACTGGTCAGTGAGGTGGCCACAGAAAGGTGGGTTCACGCCTCAAATCCCAACTCAGCTTTTCTGTGCAGGGCAAGGAGACACCCAGAAAAGCAGCAGACTGGGTGTGGCAGAGCAGCCCCTCGTTTCTTGAAATGTGGGTGCAGAATCACCATGTGCAAGCCAAACTGCACTGAAATCACCCTGCCCACTGGTGAGCTGGCACTGCTGGGCTTCTAACTGCTGATTAATGGCTCTGTTTTCCATAAACATAAGTTATTGCCACCTAAACCCCCCTAAAATCTACCCCGCAGGGTGGTGCGTAGGAGAGAGGGGGTGCAGCATCTCCAGGGAGCAGAGAGGAGCAGTAATTGCTGCAGCAAAGGCAACAAAAGCCACAGAATTGCTCACATCAAAGCCTTTACAGCCTAACCTGAGCCCATCCCTTCATGCAGGGCAGACTCAGCTTTAGAAGTAAATTCTTTTCACTGCTTTATCACACCACCTCAGAAATCTTTGTGTGTTGGGAGGAGGTCTTTGAGCAGATTCCTCTTTTCCCCCAACACAAACCGTGCAGAGAGCATGATCTCATTCCTTATCTCCCTGTACCTCAGCAGCCACTCTGCCCTAGGTGAGAGCAACAAACTCGATCTGCAGTAAGGATCATCAGTGGAAATTCAGTTTATTTCCACTGGTTCCCACATGATTTTACATAAAACAACCATACTTGTAAATTTAAAGGCTGCGTTTTAAGTACTTCCAGAGTATCTCTCTGGATTTTTTTTTTCCAAGGGAATTTTTAGCAACTGACTTTAATTTTTCACATCTTGACTTACTGCCAGCCATACTCTTGAGGGATTTTCTAATCACACTTTTTTGTTCTTCACTGAGGCTGGTTTTAATTTTGTTTAGGCTTTGATAAGAGAGCCTGAAAGCCTGCTAATTAAAATCTTTTTCACAATAGTGCTCCTAAGTAGCATTTTAAGGAGAATCCCCAGCAGTTGCTCACTGAGCCTGCCCCTCCTCAAAAGGGTCAATGGGCGGTGTAAAATCTGCTCAGAGCTGGAGGGAAGCAGCCCATGAAATACCACAGCAGCTCAGTCCTGGAGGGCACAAAGAGTCCTTCATTCCCCGGAGCAGAAATTTCCACACACGTTTTAGACATTTCGGATCCTCCAGCTTCTTTAAACAGGAAATGAAGCAGCTTAATTGGAGAAGGGGCTGCTTGTTCCCTCCTGTCACCTTGGATATTAACTTGGGTGCAACCAGGGAGCAGCACAGAAACCACCAGAAATGTCTTGGCTTTACTGATCACCAGTTGCTTTCCCAAGCTGCATAAATTTCTGTTAGTGGTTTTAACTAATCTAATTTCTATTTTCAACACTTTGATTGATGGGACATGAGAGAAGAGCTGGTTAAAATCAGTTGTCTCATAATTTCCCCCATTTAACCAGTGCCCATGAAAACTCCTGACCAAAAAATATTAAAGGCAGGGCCAGGAAAGGGAGTAATGTAAATTAAGGAAGCAAGCCCATCTCAGCATGTTCCTGCCAACATTTTCTGCTCTTCCTTTTCCATTCCTGTGCCCAGATGTCCATTATCCATGGCACAGCCTCCCCCCTCTCCTGGAAATGCCAAACCTGCTGTTTGAGGGGATCCCTGACCCCTTCCCTTGGCACATTGGTATTTTCACTACCCCAGACTTAGAGGATAAAACAACAATTCAGTGGCGCCAAGGGAGGGTTACCCAATTACCTGGCAGAATTACCCAATTCCAGGGGCTGACAGAGTCCCTCTCCCAGGGGTGGTGCTCCATTCAGAGCTTCCCAAAGGAAGCAGCAGGGCAGACAGGCTGCATTAACCCTTTGGATATCCCAGGACTGTGCAGTGCCCCCTGTGCAGGCAGAAAAGAGCCCAGAGATTCCTGCAGCCAGATTATCCCTTGCCATAGTGTCCAGCAATTCCTCCACAGCTCCTTCCAGTCCTCCTGGGGTAGGTTCCTGCATCCCACTGGACGAGCTGAGCTCTCAGCTCCCTTTGGGAAGCCTGGAAGTGAGCACTGGATCATTGGGACAGGCTGCCCAGAGGAGTGATGGAGTCCCCATCCCTGGAAGTGCCCAAAAATGGGTGGATGTGGCACTTGAGGGCCTGGTTGAGTGGTGCACATGGTGGTGCTGGGCTGGCAGTTCACAGAATCAGGGAGTGATTTGGGATGAAGGGATCTTTAAAGATCATTTTGTTCCAATCCCACCTGCCATGGCAAGGACACCTTTCCCTATCCCTGGCTGTTCCAAGCTTCAGTGTCCAGCCTGGCCTTGGACACTGCCAGGGATGGGGCAGCCACAACCTGGTGATCACATAGGTCTTTTCCAACCTTCCTGATGCCATGCAGTGTTAAAGGTCCCAGCTGTGCACATACAAATAACCCGGTTCCTATTTACCTGACAATCTTCTAACCCCTTCCAGGCTGTGAAACCGCAATTCTGTTCCCCATGCGCTCGAGGAAGATCTTTGGCAGCGTGCACCCGACCTCTGCAATGACCCTGAGCTCCTTCACCGCCTGCATCTGGCTCAAGGTGACCGAGGCCCTGGACAAAACCATCGTGTTCTCCTACGGAACCAGGTTCAACCCCTACGAGATCCAGCTGTACCTGAGCCGCGCCTCGGCCGTGCTGGCCGTGGGCAGCGCCCAGCACAAGCTGGCTGCCACCAACGTGGTGGTTCCTGGCAAGTGGCTGCACCTGTGCGGCTCCTGGAGCTCGGAGAACGGATCTGCATCGCTGTGGGCACAGGGGGAGCTGGCAGCCAGCGCCTGGCACGTGGCTGGGGCTCACACCATCCCCGACGGGGGCATCCTGCAGCTGGGCCAGGAGAAGAACGGCTGCTGCGTGGGAGGAGGGTTTGATGAAGCCCTGGCCTTCTCGGGGAAGCTGACTGGCTTTAACCTGTGGGACAGAGTGCTCAGCCCCGCCGAGGTGACAGCCCAGAGCACGGGGGACACCTGTGGCACCCGGGGCAACGTGGTGGGCTGGGGGGTGACCGAGGTGCTGCCCTACGGAGGGGCCCAGTACGTGTCCTAAAGCCGGGGCTGCACAGGGACGGATTGCGCAGAGCTGAACGTCAACGCTGCGACAGCCAGAGCTGCAGCGGCCCCGGCCTCTGGAATCCCCAAGGAATGGCAGCCCTGCAAGCTCACAGGAGCAGGCACTGTGGAGATGGGATGGATCTCTGCCTGCTGTCCTGGAGAAACCCTGAAAACACAGCCACACACCAAGGGGTGCCACTGGAAAGCTGCTCCTGGGGCCAGGCAGCTCTGTCTCCCCAGTGCAGGGCTTCTGATGTGTAAAGTGAGGGTCACCACGGACACTCAGGAACCAAATGGAGCTCCCAACATCCCTGCTGAGGAAAATCTGACCTGGCTCTGCAAAGCACAGCAGCTGTGGCTGCCCCTGCATCCCTGGCAGTGCCCAAGGCCAGGCTGGACACTGGGGATTGGAGCAGCCTGGGACACTGGGAGGTGTCCCTGCCCATGGCAGGGGGTGGGACTGGATGAGCTTTAAGGTCCATTCCAACTCAAACCATTCCAGGCTCTCTCCAATACTGTTAATGTGAATTTTACAGAGGAAGCACCCAAATCAAGAAATGTGTTGTCTATTAATCTTTGTTAGTAATGTGTAGGCTCTAAGAAAGCTAGTTCCTTGTTTAAAGCATTATTTATGCCATGGATTGATATAAAAATAATATTCCCCATCATAATCTGACGTGACATTGGGAGGAAATGCAGCTGTATTATATTGTACATTGACTTTGTGATAATTTTATTGAAATTATTTTTGTAAAGTTGTTTTGTAAATAAAGATACTTTACTAGACTAAAACTCTCTGCTCCTCTCATAAACCAAAATTCTGAACCAAGCCCCAAGTGGGGCTTTTTCCACATTTTGAACCATGCTGTTTTAGCTGCTGATAGAGAAAACATCAATTCAACATCTCAGGAGCAGGGACCTCATGCACAGTCTTGGCCCTCTAGGGTCAGGTTTTGAGGTACATTTGGACTTGTTTGCTGCCCTCAGGGGGTTTGTACAAGACAGAATTGCTGCTAAGTGCCAGTGATTCTCTTCTCTCTCACACAAACTTATCCCAAATCCCCTGAAAGCCTAGGGCTGGATACAGAGCACAGCAGCAGCTGCAGGGAGCCAAGGAACTGCTGATGATTTCCATGTAGAGAACAGAGCTCAAGCAGAGAATGATGAATACCCCACTCACTGGGTGTGCAACCATTTACAACAAGAACCATTTCTTGCTACCTGTTGAAGCCTCTGAAGAAGTTATCATGAGGAATGTCTTATTCAAACAATTCCTCTTTCCCCTGGAAGCAGCCCATCCTTCTCCTCTATCCCCCCATGTTTCCCTGTCTCCTTCATTCTCCACAGATGTCCTAAGAACACACTTTGACAAATTTCTTGACATGTTGCTGCTACACTTCCTCCTGGCCATGACAGATCCCTGCTGCCCGGATACAAAAGTAGTAAAAAAAGGTAAATTCCACTTTCCTGTGCCATTCAAGAGGGCTGTGCTTCATACCTAAAGTTATACAACCTGCTCCAAAGTTTTGGCAGCACTGCTTATTTAAGGGGAAAGAATTGCTCTGATTGCTGGGATTTCTCCTGTTACCCTGCAGTAAAAATGTATCTATGTTATAAATGCTTGGCAGTAAACTTGACAAAAATCCCTCACTAAGTAATATCTGCAAATAACCTTAGCTAGAGAACAACGAAATATTACCTCTGTTCATCTCTGGCAGCCAAAACCCAGATATTCAGAGTTACAAAAACACTTGGGGTCTCACCATTGTGCAAGGGCAGAACCACTCTCAAATCCCCCCTCTGTTCAGTGCCCTCCATTAAGTGAAAACAAATGTCCCTGAAATGCAGCAGGAAAAGGAAAATCCTCAAAAATATCTCCAGAAATCCTTCCTGGCTGCTCCTCTTGCTGCAGCTCATACCTGAGATGCTTTGTCTTGGAAGGAGCCTTCTCCTGTCTCAGCTCAGCTTTGGCTCAGGACCAAAGGCTAAGCCAGGCCTTCCATCCTCACTGACTCAGCTGGAAAACCTCCCTTTTCCAGAGTGCTCTGCTCCTCCTTCATCAGCCCAGCAGCACAGCCCACCTCCTCCAGCACAATTCCATCCTTCCTTCCTCGCTGAGCTACGCTTTCCTTTGGAGCAGTTAGGAGGAAATAGCATTTTGGGGCAATTTGGGCTCCAGTTATGAAATAACTGCAATCCTGCACTGCCCACACAGATGGGGGAGCGAGGCTGAGCCCCAGCCCAGCAGCACAGGATGCCTGAGCTGCCCTGGAAGGTGGGGAGGCCACGGGAATCTCGGATTGCAGGGCAGAGCTGCTGCTGTCCCCCGGGAATAAACGGGAATAAATCCGTGCGACCCCGGTGCTGACGGGCGGTGTCAGCGCGGAGCTCAGAGCAGTCAAACCCTCCCCAGAGAGCTCCTTTTTAGCTAATGAGATAAGAACCTGGCTGTGCAGCCAAAGAGTTGCCCCAAGTAATGAAAAGCTGCAGTTCCTCTCCAGCACTTGCAGGCAAGGGGCCAGAGTTTGCTCAGCCTGGTGCCACGAGGCCGAGCCCCGTCTGCGCAGCCCCACAACACGGCTTTGTCTCCAGAAACTGCCCTGGAAATCCATCCTGAGCAGCCAAGCCTCCTGCTCCCTTCAGCAAACACTCTCAGGGCAGCTCAGCTCCCAGCCTGCTGCAGACCCAGCCTCGCACGCCAATTATGTGCAGGGTAATTAAGCCACCACGCCAAACAAATCATTTTGCCTGTTCCGAGTGGCCCCTTCCAGGCTGGAATTCCCAAACCTGATATCCACAGCAACATCTGCTGGTGGAAGAACATAAATACACAACTCAGCCCTGCTGAAACCTACCTTATGGCGTACATCGCTTTTCCCAAAACCATGCACATATTCACTATTTCTTTCTCTTACTACTATTCTCACTACTCTTACTCGCTATGCTCACTATTTCTACCCCACAAAGTACAGATGGCAACAACTAAAGTTAGCACATTATTAAAAATATTATAAATTAATAAATACAGGATGCACACATTTATTTTGAGGGCTTAACATCTTCCTAACAATGTTCTTTTAATAATTAGTTATTGCTACTTACTGCTATCACCCCTGCTCGAAGGAGAACACTGATTTTACCACTGCAGTAGCGTTGTGTTGCAACAAACACTGTGAACTTTATTACTCGAATTCAACTGGAGTCCCTTTTATAGAGGAATGAATATTTTTGGCTTTTTAAACCGCAAAAAATAAAACGTAAAGAGATTAGCAACATTGTTCTATATAAAGCTAATAACGTAGGCAAAATGAAAGAACCACTACAAAGCTTTTATATCTTCCATCTGACTATTCCACCACAGAATGGGATTAATTTCATCCCCATTTCTCCTTTGGAGCCTTGCCAGTGACACTAAGAGGAAGGATAAGAGCTCCATGGCTGGTGCCTCATATCAGGGCCAATAATTTGGAGTCCATTAGCAGGGAATATTAACGAGTACAGATGTATTTCCTGCCCTGGGGGTCAGCCAATCCATACCAAAACCTCCAGAGGTGCAGTAAATTCACATATTCCTTGAGAAAGTCTATTAGAGCGTGATTAATACATTTGATCACATTTATAGATATTTCCATAGGTCTGCTTTATACAGCTCGTATGATTTGGTGAATGGTTGGATTGATCCTGGAGCCTTTCCCACCCCTAAAGATTGATTGATTCTGTAAGATCATGGCTCTGTACCTGCCTAGCACAACCTGGTATGGTCACACACCTGGATTAAACCCCAGCTCTGGGCTGGGCCTACCTTGCAGGACACTCCTGACGATGGTTTCTGTGTGCTCAGCCAGCAGCTCAGCCTTGGCAATGGCAGCCAAGGACAGGTAGCTGGACATGTTCCTGCACAGCTCCTTGTTGCCCCTCTGCAGGAACTTCACTGCCACTGGCACAGCCAAGGCCATCACTGGAGGCCGGTTGTAATTCTGCAAAAATGAGGGAAAAAAAAATTTATATAGTAGTCTAGTGCTGGGCAGAGTAGGGAAACCAAAGTCAAAGCAACAGGGGAAAAAGAGAAAAAAGCTTGTCAAGAAAGGTCATGTTTTGGTACCACCACTGTAGGCAGGAGTCAAAGAAAGAGCAAATACAGAAATTTAAAACTACTGCAGCAGAAAAGAATAGTCCTATTTTTGTCTTCTGCTAGAGGAAGCAGAAGGACAGTAACAAAATATGTGGTGCATAAATAAAAATCAATATAAATAAAATACAGAAGATATGAAGTGCACTAACTACATGCTGCCATTTCTAACGAGACATTTTGTGTTTGATGCTCCCTGGAAAGACAGAGGCTGCATCCATCATCCCAAAGCACAGGAAACACCTTGGAGCAGCGACTGCACTGGACACTTGCTCAGTGTAGTAGCTCTAGTATTGGTCATTAATTATTCTGTAATCATTAAGATTTCATTTGTTTATTTAAACTCACAGAATTCCAGAATGGTTTGGGTTGGAAAGGTCCTTAAAGGTCACCCAGTGCCACCCCTGCCATGGCAGGGACACCTCACACTGTCCCAGGTTGTTCCAGCCTGGCCTTGGGCACTGCCAGGGACCCAGGGGCAGCCCCAGCTGCTCTGGGCACCTCCACCAATTCCTCTGAACACTGAGATCCTTCAGGAGTGCAAACTCCTCTTCTAAAATGGCTCCAAGCTTCTGAAATCTCAGGGTCCCTGGGTGCACCCTGGGGTTTGGAATCAAGGTCAGGAAAGGTTTTCTGCTATTATTTGTACAGAAAATTGTGTGTTCAAAGCACACACATCCATTGCCTGCTGAATCCCCACAGCAGCAGGACACATTTGTGTGTCACTGAGCACCCACATTCCTCTGGAGCCTCCTTAACCAGTGCTGTGCTCTCCTCTCCACTCAGATCTTTGGAACTGGAGCACATCCCCATTTCTGAAAATAATCCTGCAGTGTGATTATGCCTAATTAGCAGCTGAAATCCCA